ATAATAATCAACATCCTCATCCTTATCCCCATCATCAACGGCATCAGCAGTGGCGGCAATAGGAATGCAATGGCGATGTGCATCGCGACGGCGACGGCCTGATCTCATGGCTCGCGCCTCCGCGGCGAACGCAACCTTTTGCGCAAGTGCCCGTCAGCTCTGCTTGAAGCCCTCCTTCAAGGCCACTTTCCTCGAACGGAACAATACCCCCTTACTGTTGCGCCAGATTTTGTATGTCTTGCCAGCCTTCGCGTCCCCAAGCCCCCGCATGAAAACTATGATCGTCAACTTCTCCTCGGTTGCTGTGGTGAGGATTTAGTTGCGTTTCGAATGCGCTCGCTTGGTTGTGAAATCCTTTGGCGCGGTAAGCTGAAAAAAACATGCCACGGACACGGAACCTGAGGAGAAGTACCTCTGGTGTGCCCGCAACGGTGAGGAATCAAGTGCGTTTCAAATGCAACCGCCTGGGCGTTAATCAATCCTCTGGCGCGGCATGCTGAGAATGGTCCTCCGCGGAACCTGAACAATACACAGTGTCCCAAATGCGTCCGCCTCAGTATTACCAAATCCTCTGGCGTGCCCACAACGGTGATGTCATTTTGCTAAGGGGGGGGTCGGGAATATAAAGGCGCCCCGTCGAAGAGGGGGTCCAGAGTATTGAGGGAGCGTGATCCACCGCCGCTTTACTGTGGAACATTCCCCCCTCTCGTCTTCCCGAACCCAGGGGTTCCCCCCCCTTTCGAAAATCCCCCCCTCCCATGCTGACCCCCCCCCCCTCGCCCCCCTTTCCCCCGGCAACTCCCCCCCCCCTCTGGAAAACGGGGGGGGGTCACTACCGGTTCGAACCCCCCCCCTGCCCCCTCCAGAAAACCGGGGGTGTCACTGACGGTTCGAACTCCCCTCCCTCCCCCTCTGGAAAACCGGGGGGGGTCACTACCGGTTCCTCCCCCCCCTCCCCCCCTCCAAAAAACTGATGGGGGTCACTACCGTTTCGACCCCCCCCCTCCAGAAAACAGGGGGGGGTCGCTACCAGTTCCACCCCCTCCCCCCCTTTCAGAAAACTAGGGGAGGGTCACTACCGGTTGAACCCCCAACCCCCCTCAACGCCGGCAAACTACTCCTGGGTCCCCACCACCGTCCGCACCACATCCCCGACCGCTGTCCCCAGCACCACTACCGTCCCCACCACTACTGTCCCCACTTTTCCCACCACCGACCCCACTGTCCCCACCAGTGCCCCCACCACTGTCGCACTGTCCCCACTGTCCCCACCACTGTTCCCACCACGGTCCCACATTCCCCACTTTCCCCACGGTCTCCACCACTGTCCCTCTGTCCCCACTGTCCCCACTGTCCCACTGTCCCACTGTTCCTGCCGCTCTCCCACTGAGCCGTCCCACTGTTCGCACCACTGTCCCCACTGTCCCCACCGCTGTCCCCTCTGTACCCTTGTCCCATTGTCCCACCACCGCCACCACCACCGTCCACACCACTGTCCCACTGTCCCCACCACTGTCCCACTGTCCCTACTATCCCCACCACTGTCCCACTGTCCCCACTGTCCCCGCCGCTGTCCCACTGTGCTGTCCTACTGTCCCCAGTGTCCCCACCACTGTCCCCACTGTACCTACTGTCCCACCACTCTCCCCACTGTACCACTGTCCCACCACCGTCCTCACCACCGCCTCCACCACTGTCCCCACCACTACCGTCCCCACCACTGTCCCACTGTCCCCACTGTCCCCACCACTGTCCCGCTGTCCCCTCACCACTGTCCCCACCACCACCGTCCCCACCACTGTCCCACTGTCCCCAATGTCCCCACCACTGTCCCACCGTCCCGATGAGCGGGAATCGTTTTCCGGCGGTGAGGAGGGGGGGGTTCGAACCAATAGTGACACCCGCCCCTTTTCATGATGGACGGGGGGGGGGAGGGGTATGTTCGAACCGGTAGTGGTGACCCCCCCCGGTTTTCGAGGGGGGGGGGGTCGGGTTGGGAACCCACAGTGGCCCCCCCTGGTTTTCCGCCAGCAGCGGTAGAACACGCTCTTTCGGCGTATCAGGTCGCATTTGCAGGGTGGTCCGGTCTTCAGCTGGGGGTCGATTCATGAGGGATTTCGAGTACGTTGGATCTGTGGGTAGTCGACGCTGCCCCTTCCCCACAGAGATTCCCCTGCTCTTCGCTGCCTCGCGCCCACCCCTCCCCCTTGACGCGCCGATCCGGTCTTGGCCTCCTGTGCCGGCCTCCCAGAGCACGCCATGATGGCCAGGATGCTCTTCAAGAGTCGGCGGCGAGCGAGGGGGGGCGAGGTGGCAAGGAGAAGGCCCTCTCAGAAGGCGGCGGGGCTTCTCAGAAACCCTCGGGCCTTCTGGGGAGTTTTCTACGTCTTCGGGGAAGGCTTAGAGAACTTCTAATAAAGTCCGAAGGAATTCTGAGCCTTCTGAGAAGGCCCGCACCCTCTCGCTTCCCCCCTGGGCGCGCTGCCGAAAGAGAGCCCTCGGACCAGAGGTCGCGATTGAATTCTCAGACATTGGTGCAAAGGGGTCCACTATCCTACGCGCAGCTCCCTCGAGTCTCGAGATCTCCGTACCGAGTGCGGTGCACACTCTTTCAGGGCCCGTGCCCGGTGTGCTGGGCGGTGCTGCGCACTCTTAGTATCTCCCGAGTGCCTGCTCCCGAGGCCCTTGGAGCGCGGCCGCGGGTCGCAACCTCAGACATGCTCTGAAGGTGGGCCCTGTAGGGGCCGTCCTGAGGCTCTCACAGCGGCCCCGAGGGGCCGCTGTGGATGCCCTGGAGGGGGGCCGTCTCGAGAAGCCCAAGCGGCCCACAGCATGAGCTTCGCATCCTCGCTGCTTTGCGAGCCCGAAGAGGGCCCAAGGGCCCCCCCCCAAGAGGGCCCTGGAGGAGGAGGATGACCGAGCCTCAGGAGGGCGCGTGCACCCCGCCTCCCGCCGCGGGGGGCCTGGTCACCACCTGAGGTGCCAGGACCCCCCGACCGCGAACTCGATGCAGTCGAGCTCACACGTGGACGGACTTATCAATGCCGTCCATGTCCGCGGGAGGGGGAAGGGGCGAGGGCCCTGCGCGCGAAGCGGCGAGGCCGCCTACCACCCCCCCCCGCTGCTCCTCCCGCGGCCGGCCGCCCCGGGCCTTGGACCATCGCCACGTGGACCACCACGCGCTCGACGGCCACCAGCCGCTCCGGAGCCCCCGCCACGCGTGCCGTCGGACGAGGCCGCCAACTCCTCGAGCTCGACGGCCATTGCGACCAGCACGCCGTGGTCGAAGGGGGCCGTCTCGGGAGCGGGAGGCAGCCCAGCGCGCTCCCGCAGGCGGACGACGAGGTTCCTCAGCTGCCACACCTCGAGGTGGCCAAGCTTGCCCTTGCCGCCGCTCTCGCCGCCCTTGCCCGCGTTCTTGCCCTTGCCCTCGCGCTGGTCTGTGCTGGCAGGCGGGCCACGAGCCTGCATCACCACGGGCAGCTCGTCGGCCCAAGCGTCGTCCTCCAGCATCGGCTGAGGCGGGGCGCCAGCCCCCGTGGCCACCTCGCCCGCCGACCCCTTGTCGATGTCCATGCCGTCAGCGACGATGTAGTGCTTGCCGTTCTCGTCCCCGCCCTTCGAGCCGCCGCGGCCGCGGGGCCGCCGCCTCCTGCGCGAGGAAGCCGCTGGATCCGCCAGGGGCGCCGCGACGAGCGCGGGGGAGGAGGGCGTGGCGAGCACAGCCACCGCCGTGCGCAGCAGGCCTTCGGCGGCGCGGATGAGGCGTACCGCCTCCCGCTGGCCGCTCGCAAGCCCAGCCGCCGCGTGCGTCGCCAGCACTGCGCCGCGCGCAGCGTCCAGCGTCGCCTTCGCGGAGCGGGCGTCGGTCGTCGGCGGCATCGGCGAGGCGGCGGGTCGGCGGGGCGACCCAGCGGCGGCGGCGCGTGAGCCAGAATGCCAACTCCCTGGAGGAGGAGGAGGAGGAGGAGGAGGAGAGGAGGAGGAGGAGGAGGAGGAGGAGGAGGAGGGGGAGGAGGAGGAGGAGGAGGAGGAGGAGGAGGAGGAGGAGGAGGAGGAGGAGGAGGCAAGAGGGGCCCCAAGAAGGGAAGCTCGAGCTGCCATTCGGAGCTCCCCGCCCCGAGGGGGCCCCCGAGACAGCCAGCGAGTCCCCAAGACGCCCCCAAGAGACTCCCCCGAATGCCCCAAAGAATCAGGGGGACGTAAGACCTGGGTACAGGGGACTCGGAAATCCCCGACGAGGTCGTCAAAGAAATGACGAAGCCGAGCCTGCATTTTGACGAGGCCTCCCGCTGCAGACATCCCACGAAACTCCTCCTCGTCAAAATCCGAGCCGCGGTCGTCAAAAAACGATGGCGAACCCGAGTCCTGGCAAACCCGGGTCTTACGTTCCCCCGAAAGAAGCCCTGGGGAGGCTCCCAAAAGATGCCCCCAGGAGGTCCGCAGGAGGCCTCCGACAAGTCCTCGAGAGGCTCCCCAAGAGGCCACGACACGGCACAGGGGAGGCATAATTACGCAGTGTCCACGACACGGGCACGGTGACGGCATGGGCCGAAGGCCACCAAATCAAGATCCGACGTCGGCGGCGTTCGCAAAGGGCGAAACACGGTGGTCTGGGACCTCTCCGGGCCCCGAAACTGACCGACAACGGCGCGTTCCTCGCCAAACGCCGACCGCAGCACTCCCCACTTCCAACAGACTGAAACATCGCCAAGCATTTCTCAGAAGCTGGGCGAGGGCTGGCAAATCCCTGGCTGCCAAAACGGTCTTCCCAGAAGAGAATCAAATTCCCGGAATCAAACTCGGTGTGCTAATCGTGAAACGGGCTGCTTCCCCGAAGAGAAACACTTCCCGAAGCTCCGTTTTACCAGCCACTGGTTTGCCAGCCCTCGCCTGGCTTCTGAATTTCGGACGTCGCACGTGCGCACCGCCCCGCCTACGCATCCGCCTGCCGCACCCTGTCCCGGTCTCGCGCTCATGCCAAGCGCTTGGCGCCGCGCCTCTGCCAGGCACTTTGCCGTTGGACTCCAGCATGTGCACCGCTCCTCTTGTTCCTCCTTCGGGACCTGGTAGCGATCATCTTTCGGGCAACGGCAGAGCTTCGTGCAGAGAAACAGCGATCTGTCTAGTTCGCAGTGGGCGGTCCCGACAAGGCAGCTGCGGCGATTGGTCTCGAAGTCAGTCGCGGGTGAGTCTGCATTAATTCTGCATGGTCGCTGTACATCCTCTGTATGCTTGGTATATGCCCATGCCTTCTTAGTTTGTTCCTGGCGCCCATGAACTGCATGCGTTATGCTTGTCTGTTCTCATGCTCCTTACGTCTGACATGTTGTGCGGTCGTGATTCGCTTGTGTATGCCATTGGTGCGTATTGGTTGCTTATGTCTTATGTCGTCCCCCACAACAGTGAAATTGTTATGGACTGATGGTGGGTGCCTGTTCTGCATGCGCGTTCTGAGAGTATGCAGTTGGTCGGAACTCTTGACTTACTGGATGTGCGTACAAGTTTTTGGCGTCTGGTGTTGAGAGACGGTGCAGCTGTATGTACGCTGTGCGCCCTTAATACGTGTTCAATGTTGCCATTTGTTGGTTCATGCCCCCCGGGGGTATCGCTCGAAGACGCCCAATTCAAGATGGCCTGAAGTTGGCGCAAGAGGCTTCCAATGCGCCCCAAGAGGCCTCCAAGAGGACTCCCAAGAGGGCCCCCAAAGGCAACAATCATTGATTTTCCCAGCGTTTCTGAAGGATGTGGGTATTCTCGTCTTTTCGGCTTTCCGACGCTCCAAGACGGCCCAAGACGCCCACAAGACCACCCCAAAACTGCCCAAGAGGCCTCCAAGAGGACCCCAAGACGACCTACCCAAGACGGCCCAAGAGGTGCCCGAGACGGCCCGAGAGGGCCCCAAGACAGCCCCCAAAGGGGCCTCAGACAGGGAACACGAACCGAACATCCGAGCCTTCCACCCCAAGGTGGGGAAACCAAAAGGTACCGATACCGCTACTCCCCAGTCCTATCCCGGAGTGGTTTCTGACCAAGATTTCGAAGCGAATCCAGCGGTGGCAACGAGGGCCTCCGAGGAGGCCCAAAAGGGGGAAAACGGGCGAACGTTAGCGGCATGGGTACCTTGTCTTTCTCTGACCAAGGGGCCCGAACGTCTCTCAGTCGGCCAGTGGCCCTCTGAGCCTCCTGAGAGGGCTTGCCCCTGTGCCTTTCCCCCGTGTGCGCGCTGCTGGGATCAGGAACGAAGGGGCTCTCTGACCACGGCGAGCCTCGGCCACGAATAGGTTCCCCGACCTGGAACTGGGGAGCCGTCCGAGAACCTGAGCCCCTTCCCCCTCCCCCTCCCGGAACCCTCCTCCTCCTCCCCTCCTCCTCCTCCTCCTCCTCATCCCTCCTCCTCTCCTCCTCCTCATCCTCCTCCTCCGCCTCCTCCTCCTCCCCCTCCCCCTCCCCTCCCCCTCCTCCCTCGACTCCTCCTCCTCCTCCTCTCCTCTCCTCCTCCTCCTCCTCCTCCTCCTCCTCCTCCTCCTCCTCCTCCTCCTCCTCCTCCTCCTCCCCTCTGGAGCCCCAAGGGGTCCTCCTTTCAGCCGCTGGCCTGTATCGACGGCGCCGCACCTTGAGAGGAGTGTTAGGGGGGAGAGACGAGGCAGAGCGCCCAGCGAGGAAGTCAGATCCACCTTTCCCCTGTTGCTGCGAAATCAAAAGGAGCCCCCCCCCACCACCAAGCCCACGCCTCGCACAAGGTCCTGCATAATCATTCCCGCCCAGGCCCGGGACGAGAGGGAGAGAGAAGGAGGAGGAGGAGGAGGTGGAGGAGGTGGAGAAGGAGGAGGAGGAGGAGGACCCGTGCAAGCCCAGTATTCATCAACGCTATCTCAATGAACCCTCCCTCAAAGTTCCCTCTTCATAGGCCCCTACAAGGCTTCATTTTCACTGAGTGAAATGCCCCGTTGGAAAACTACCGTCTGAAACTCCTGAAATGTACCACAGACTACCCCGCTACTGTGGCGCCTTGACGATGCAGAGTCATGTCAGCACGCCACTCCTGGGACTTCAACAACGCGAATCAATATATGGTTGCGCCCTGACAATCCGACACATAACCAAAACACCAAGGGTGGGAGGTTAACAGTGGTCATCCGTGAAACTGTTATAAGATTTGTTTAACTAATGCGCGCGACGCTAAAGCGAGAACCATATTTTGAACAAGAACCGCCTTCCATCCGTGAAGCTCTACCAACTGTTTGAGCGAATGTGCGCGGCGCTAGGGCGAACATTTTGAAAACGGCCCGCCTTTCATCCGTGCGACTCTTCCAATGTTCTATGACGACTTTGCGCGGCACTACGGCGAGAACCACCTTTGAAAACGACCCTCCCTCCATCAATGAAGCTCCGGCAAATCTTCAATATACAGATCAGACATGGAGGAGGAAACTCAAGCGAAACGCCCGGCCCGCCTTACTGACACGCCTCGGGGTTGCGACAGGGAGATATTGTTTGTGATAAGGAAACGGAACGGAAGGAGAGGAGGAGGAGGAGGAGGAGGATGAAGGAGGAAGAAGAGGAGGAGGAGGAGCAGGAGGAGGAGATAGGAAGAGCAGCAGGAGGAGGAGCAGCAGCAGCGAGACGGGGATTGCATCGGCGCCGAGGAGTCGACGCGGGCGGCGGGAGCACCGGGCAGCGAGCCACGCGGCCGAAGAGGCCCGACACCCGGGCTCGGCCGCTGCCCCCCGCGCACCTTCCCCCCCCCCCCCCTATGAGGAGGAGGAGGAGGAGGAGGAGGAGGAGGAGGAGGAGAGGAGGAGGAGGACGAGGAGGGGTGGGGGAGGAGGAGAGGGAGGGAGGAGAGCCAGCCCGTGGCCTCACGCGCGGGCCCGCGCGGGGCCCATGTGCACTCCTGCACGCCAAACCCCCCCTCGTCGCACGGTCGCCGCCGTCGGTGCCGTGCTTTCTCCACGGCAGCGGTGGGAGGCGTGACACAAAATCCGCGCGTTCGAGTCTGGGACGCTACCCGAGGGAGGCCGTTGCCTTCGAGTTGTGCAGATGGCTGTCGTCGTCGGCCCGAGGCGGACGAGCACTTCGAGGTGGGAGACGGGTGTGGCATCGAAGGGTGCGGTGCCAATCGTGGACAAGGCGATGTTACCGACTATAGATAACGTCGCAGTGTGCAGCAGTGGCACCACACCCCTTTGCGCCACACCCCTTTCCTACCTCCAGATCAAAAGGGGGCGTGACGTGCAAGAACCATACTTCACACGCGCAGGCGCAGCTGCTCCACAGTCGGACCCGGGAAGCAGGCACCTCCCTGCACAAGACGGATGCGCGAGCGGCACGGTGCCCCCCGGGTGACCTCACCGGCCGTCGCGCTGCGCCGCGGCCGCCGCGGCCGCATTCTTGGCTCAGCGGGCGTGGGGGGTACCAGCAGCACCCGTGTTTGGGCTCGGCGAGAGTGGAGCTTTCTCGGCCCGCCCCCCGGCTGGTCGAAGGCCTTGTCTTCGCGACCAGCGAGAATCTGGGCGGAGCGCGAGCCTCCGGAACTGACGCCGCGAATGGCTCCCCGAGGCTCCGTGTGCATCGAGCTCCCTGGCAAGCCTGTGAGATCTCCTCGCTCCCTGTCCTCCCGGTCCTCCAACTGGAGGGAGCAACGCTAGGGGGGGGGCTGGCATGGGGGAGGAAAGGTCTACCTGGAATCGGCGACACACCGCCGATGGATCGGCGATATGCCCCCGACAGCAAATCCCCACGTTCCTGGACGGAGTGGGGCAATCAGACCCCTTATCGTCGATCAAGGGGCGATGGGGGTCGATGCATCCCCCCGTATATACCTACTCCGGACATCACAACAAAAGGGTAGTGGTCTGATTTGGGGGGGGCTCTGATTTGAGCGGTCCTGGAGCGCTCCAGTGGGGCCTGGGCGAGAGGCCGCCCTGGCATGGCTGGTCTGGGGGAGTCTAGCACTGCCCGTCTGGGAGGGTTGTGACCCCCTCCTTTGGACTACAAAACTTGGAGCACTCCAGATTTCGTAAGACAAGGGAGGGGTTCTGGACCCTCCAAGTCAAGCCATTTCAGACCTCCCCCGTGGGAGAACCCTCCAAAACATCGTCCCCAGACCCCCCAGGCCCTCCAAGATAGCCTGGGAAGAGACCCCTCCCCGAAGTGAGACCCCCTCCCCTTATTACGAAATCTGGAACATCCTTCCCCCCCCCCCCCTCGCTGCCCCTGACAGCAGCCACCCGGGCGCGCGGGCAAACCTCCCAGCGGGCGCGGGCTCCCCAGAGCGCAGCGGGCCGCGCGAGGGAGCGGGGATGGGGCACGGGGGGGAGGCAGGGAGGACCGGCGATTGGAGCCGGCAGGGGGGGGGGCTGATCGGGCGGGTGGCAGTGGGGTTGAGCAGGGACCGACCGCCCCGGCATTCCTATATGGGCCCGTCTCAGAACCCAACCATGCTCTGATGACAAAAGCAAAGTTCTCTGGACCATGGGCCCGTTGTGTCAAAACGAGGCCGTCTCGGCCAGAGATGCTCTGAGAACAGGTCGTGCAGAGAGGCTCTTAGAACAGTCTGCTCTTAGAGCATGTCGTGCAGAGGTTCTGAGAACATGTTTGGACGCCCGAATTATCCGGGGTAACTCGGGTCCGGGGTTACTCGGGTTCGGATTCCCGACAAACGAACCCGAGTTATCCCTGACCCGAGTTACCCCTGATGACTCGGGGCTCTGACATGTCGTGCAGAGGTTCTGAGAACACCCGCTGGCGGGCCGACGGGCCAGCCGGGGCGCCTCGCCACTGCTCGATGGGGGGCAACCTCCGTGAGGCGCTCCAGACCGGGCCTCGCCTTCGAGGGTCGAAGGACTTGCAATCTCTTCCTCGGCGAGGAGGAGGAGGAGGAGGAGGAGGAGGAGGAGGAGGAGGAGGAGGAGGAGGGGTAGGAGGAGGAGAAGGAGTAAGAGGAGGGGGAGGAGGAGGAGGAGGAGGAGGAGGAGGAGGAGGAGGAGGAGGAGGAGGAGGAGGAGGAGGAGGAGGAGGAGGAGGAGGAAGGCGGCGCGGAAGGCTGGCGGAAGCCAGCGGG